TGGTTTAAGGTTGGAGATCCCTGGTTTAAGGCTGCTAAGGTTGGAGACACCCGGTTTACAGATGCCGCTAGTGGTGGTGGGGGCTCTTCTTGGAGTGGGGGGAGGCGAGAAGGAGGCTGCGACAGTTCCATGGAGGATGGAGAGGCGCCCACTGCCTCCCACTAGTTCTTCCTTTGCCTGCTTTGCAAGACCACGCTAGTTATGAGCCGGTAGTAAAAATAGGGGCGAAACAAACAAGAGAATGTTTTTAAAAAGCACCTTTCAATGAGCAGTGAAAACATTCCACCGTCATCAAATTCACTTATTCCAGGTTTGGTTTGGTTTGGTTTACTTTATGTTTATTCCAAGACTCGCATGGATTATAATTTATGTTTATGCCGGGAGCAAAACAGCGTAGTGATTGCAAGGATTCGCCTATGTGAAATAAAGAGGCCGGCAAACGGTGAAGACGCCTGGCAAAGGAGGGCAGGATTCTGTAAACTTCCAGCTTTTCGGTTCTTTTTGGGGGCAAACACCTAGAAACCCACTTACCACCAGGGCCCTTCCTGGGAGCTCCTGCCGGAAGGTGTTAACCCTGGTTTGATGCTGGAGCAGCTTGTTCAGAAGTGACGATGGCCTGACTGGCTGTTGCAGGCAAAATCGGGCAGAGCACGATTTGGTAGAATAAGGGCAAATAATTTATCAGGGCAGGAGATCCACCAGGGTTCAGCTCCTGGTGGGGATCAACTGGGGGTCCGCCTGAACCAGGGCAGGAGATTGATTGATTGATTGATTGATTGATTGATTGATTGATTTTATTTGGTTTGTCAGTTGCTTACAAGATAATAGGTATAAGTATAAACATAATTATGAATACATGGATACATATAAGAAAAATAAAAGAAACAATAGGACAGGGACGGTTAGTGCGCTTATGCACGCCCCCTACAGACCTCTTAGGTCAATAGCAGACAGTCTAAAATTAAAGTTTTTGGGGTTTGGGAACGAAACCAGAGTCAGGTAGAGTATTCCAGACATTGACCATTCTGTTTATTTTTATTTGTCAATTACTTACAAGATAATAGGTATAAGTATAAACATAGTTATGGATACATGAAATGGGTACATATAAGAAAAATAATAAAATAAACAATAGGACAGGGACGGTAGGCACGGTTGGTGCGCTTAATGCACACCCCCTACAGACCTCTTAGGAAAGGGGTGAGGTCAATAGTAGACAGTCTAAGGTTAAAGTTTTTGGGGTTTGGGGAAGAAACCACAGAGTCAGGTAGAGGATTCCAGACATTGACCGCTCTGTGGCTGAAGTCGTATTTCCTGCACCGGGTCCGCCAGAGTCCAGCTCCTTGGGGGCACCAGCTGGGGGTCCGCCTGAGCGGAGGGGATGAGCAGTCTTTGCTGGCTTCCGGCCCTGTCTGCAAACTGCCCGGAGGCGGCTTGGAGACGGGCCGAAGTGGGCCAGAGGTTCCAATGGACTTGCTATCTCTCTAGCCCAGAGGTCTCCAAACTTGGCAACTTTAAGACTTGTGGACTTCAACTTCCAGCTATGCTGGCTGGAGAATTCCAGGACTTGAAGTCCACCCGCCTTAAAAGTTGCCAAGTTCGGGGACCCCTGGCCACTGGAAGGGCCCTGCCTGGGCCGAGTGTCTTCTGCCTCCTCTTCACAGGGAGTTCCCCCAACAATTCCTTCCTTGGTGGAATAATATTCACAGAGGGGCTTTTTTTCCCCCCTGTCCTGCTGTGGGCCGTGCAAAGGCCTCCCAGAACTCCTGCTTGGGAATCACACGGGGGGGACGATCCATTTCGAACTCCTGGAGCTTGAGGGGAGAAAGCCGCCTGGCCTGAGTCGGATAGGGTGGGGAATGTTCGGCCGGCCAAGCCGTTTCCTCACCATGGATTTTGGCCCTTCCTTCAGGGCTCTTGGAGACGGGGGGGGGGGGGGGGGGGTTGCTCCAGGTCACGTGGGGGAGTTTCAAAAACAAAACAGAAACACCCACAAACGCTGATTTGGTTCTGCCAGAACCCGTTTGAGTCTGGCGTTTGACTTTGGGGTCCTATAGGATTGCTCCTGGAGGGAGCCTGGGCTCTGTGCTTCTCCACTTCTTTCTTTCTTTCTTTCTTTCTTTCTTTCTTTCTTTCTTTCTTTCTTTCTTTCTTTCTTTCTTTCTTTCTTTCTTTCTTTCTTCCTTCCTTCCTTCCTTCCTTCCTTCCTTCCTTCCTTCCCTCGTTCTTTCTTTTTTTCTTTCTTTCTTTCTTCCTTCCCTCTTTTTTTCTTTTTTCTTTCTTTCTTTCGTCCTTCCTTCCCTCTTCCTTCCTTCCTTCCTTCCTTCCTTCCTTCCTTCCTTCCTTCCTTCCTTCCTTCCTTTCCTCTTTCTTCCTTTTCTTCCTCCTTCCTTCCTTCCTCCCATCCTCCTTCCTTCCTTTCTTCTTCCTTCCTTTCCTCCCTCCCTTTCTCCTTCCTTCCCTCCCTCCCTCTCCCTCTCTTTCTCTCTCTCTCTCTCTCCTGAGGCGGGCCTGCAAAGCAGCCGTGTGGCCTCTCTTCAGTGCAAGGAGGAAAGTTCTCAGCGTCGGGCCCAGAAGGCTTGTTTGTTTTTGCGCCTGCCTTTTGCTTTCCCAACGCTCGGTCAATGTGAATCTTGGCTGTCAGGGTGATTTAGGAGGGGACGGCGGGCTCACACAAAGAGGCATCTGTTGTTGGGCCAGCCGGGGAGATGGGAGGCGAGGAGGGTCGGGGCAGCGCCGAAAATGTTTCTCTTTTGAAAGACGGGCTTCCAAGTGTCCAGGGCAGAGAGGCTCACTGGGTAGAAGCTGCCCTTTTGCAGAGAGGCCGGCTCAACATCGGGGGCATTTATGGCCGAGGAACTACCCTCACACACACATCCACACACCCCCTCCTAGTTCCCTGATAGTTTGGGGAGGAGAGGGTGCTTTTCTGCAGGAGTTCATCTGGGTTTGAATTCTCCAGAAGGGACTGGGGGAGAACTGGCATGTCACTGAGCCACAGCTTGGGTTAGGAAAACCTAGTTTCTCAGTTCTCTCCTCCTCTCCTTCTGGAGCTCCAGGCAACGTTCCCAGCGCTGCCTCCTCCTGATTTCTTCTCTCTCTACAAGGCAGGGAAGTGACCAGCCCCACCATCACGCTCCCGTGAGTTGGAAGGTGGAGAAGGAAGTGAACTTGCGGTCTCTTCTTCCCAGCCCTCACCTCCTCACCAAGCGCTCTGGGTCTTGTGCAAACTCTTCTCAAGAAAGCTCTTTTCCTTCTCCTTCTCCTTCTCCTTCTCCTTCTCCTTCTCCTTCTCCTTCTCCTTCTTCTTCTTCTTCTCCTTCTCCTCCTCCTCCTCCTCCTCCTCTTCCCTTCTTCTACTTCCTCTTCCTTCTCCTCCTCCTCTTCCTTCCCTTCTTCTTCTTCTTCTTCTTCTTCTTCTTCTTCTTCTTCTTCTTCTTCTTCTTCTTCTTCTTCTCCTCCTCCTCCTCCTCCTCCTCCTCCTCCTCCTCCTCCTCCTTCTCCTTCTCCTTCTATTAAATGTTATTGAATAAACATTAAAAACAATTGAACACAACTTTTTTGGCCATCATTTTGGCCATACAAAGCTACAGTATAGAGATACACATAACAGTTCATTTCCTTTTTCCCTTATGTTATTAGTATAGTGCTAGCTGCGTATTATTTCTATTTACATTTATCTACAATTATCTACATAGTTACAGCTGTCTTTTATACTAATGCATTCGTACCATCTCGTATTTGCCCGTTCTGTTCCAATTCTCTTTGGTTTGCAAAACTTTCACTCTCATGCCTTTCATTTCAGGAAAGCGCTTTTCTTTTCCACGTGGTCCTTCCCTTGAACGGCCTGCTTAGAGGTGTCTCCCCCCGACCCCCGACCCCCACCCCAGCCTTCCCGGATCTTTGTGTAAAAGGGATGCTGTCCCTTTGGCTCAGGGGTGGAAACGCCCACCGCAGCTGGCGAGTCCCCGGGGATTTGCTTGGGCCCAAATGCATCTGTTCCAGAAGGGCTGCCGTGTGAAGAGACACGGGGGAAGAGCCTGGTTTGTGTGAAAGGCCTTTCCAAGGACAGGGCATTCTCCCATTCCGCCTTGTAGACCCAGGTCTGTGTTTGTGTGTGTGTGTGAGTGTGGGCTTCCAAGGCCTCTTTCCTGGTGTATAGGATGTGCTTGTGCTGAATGCTTGCTTACTCTGCTGCTGTCATTCCCACCTTTCTTGTATTCCAGGCCTTTGCTGCCCTTTCAGCCCTTCGTTTGTGTGTGTGTGTGTGTGTGTGTGTGTGTGTGTGTGTGTGTATAGAGCCCGTTTTATGGCATAAAGGGGGGTGGCTGGGTTCGGAGAACAAGCTACGGTCCCGGCTGAATTTCTTGCAACAGATTGAGCCGCCGGCTGTGCATTGCCTGGCATTGAGCTCCTGGCAGTTTCTATCGCTCTGCCGTTGGCAGTGCCGGAGAATTGTGTTACTCCTATACTTATATAAAGGA